CACCACTACAATATGTATAATTCTCACTGTTGTTGCATACACAAAGCCAAGCATGTCGTGCCATGCAAGTTTGTACTGCATTCAAGCACAGAGACAGGGAAACGGAGAGAGAGAGACGGAGGCAGCAGTATGTAAATGAGCACTGTGCACAGTCAGGGATCGTCTCAACAGTTCTTGAAAGCAAACACTGCATGGCACTCTTGTGATGCACAGTTTGGAACTGACAAAGAGAATTCCAAACTTTTCTTTGCTGCAATAGTTTTTAGTTTTACAGTATCTCATGAATACATAGTGAATGGCAAAAGAGAATGTTCTTAGAAATAAGAAGCATAAAAAATACTTCAGTCACATTTCAATATGATCTCTTTTTTATACTCTTCTTTCATACAAGATTTAGGGGGGAAAAATAGAGATACACAATAGGATAGATACATAATAGTAGACATGAAATAACTTAAAACACAGATTGACAAGAATTTGAATTACTTTAGCACAGGTTATTTACCTTATTAAAAATAAAAAAAAGAGCTATACAACTGGAGCTGCAAAGGAAATACAAAAAATTGTTCCTTCGGATCTCGATATTTACATATAAACATGTACATTTGCATGAGAGTTGAATTGGCTCCTCAAGTGATGATACTTCTTATGTACAAACTTCATGGCCAGAATTCACAAAGGAGGTTTGTTCAACGAACCTCCTTTGTGAATTCGGTCTCTTGAGTTTTCCATTTAATCATGGTAGTCATGATTTATAGCGACAAACATAAAAATAAGATTCCCTGATTGTTTTTGTCAAGCATATACCTAAAGTGCATAACTGAACCTCAAGCGAAACGACTTGTTAATAAATTAAATTATATTCTTTGAATTTTCTCCATGATCTCAATTGGATATAGAGGCTGATAATGAAATTAAACTGTACAATTTTTAAAAGGTACCACTAACACTACATATATGATCTTTCATTAAAGAAATTAAACATAGAGAAAAAGAGGTTAAAACTAGATGGAATTTTGACTGCGCGCAGTCGAAAATGATGCCTCCGCCAGAGCAATTTAAACAAGTTTGGAGTTTAAATCTCCAGTGGTTCTTGAGATATCATGATAACAATCTCAATGTATGGAATTTCATAAGTTGACCTCTGTGACCCTTGACCTTTGACCTACGTGCTCCAAAATCTAATCAGATTGTCTTCCTATGGTGAAACACACTATCATTAAGTTTGAAGTTTAAATCTCCAGTGGTTCTTGAGATATTATGATATGGTGATACATACTATCATTAAGTTTGAAGTGAAAATTCTCCAGTGGCTCTTGAGATATCGCGATAACGATCTCAATGTATGGAATTTCATAAGTTGACCTCTGTGACCCTTGACCTTTGACCTACGTGCTCCAAAATCTAATCAGATTGTCTTCCTATGGTGATACACACTATCATTAAGTTTGAAGTTTAAATCTCCAGTGGTTCTTGAGATATTATGATAACAATCTCAATGTATGGAATTTCATAAGTTGACCTCTGTGACCCTTGACCTTTGACCTACGTGCTCCAAAATCTAATCAGATTGTCTTCCTATGGTGATACACACTATCATTAAGTTTGAAGTTTAAATCTCCAGTGGTTCTTGAGATATTATGATAACAATCTCAATGTATGGAATTTCATAAGTTGACCTCTGTGACCCTTGACCTTTGACCTACGTGCTCCAAAATCTAATCAGATCGTCTTCCTATGGTGATACATACTATCCTTAAGTTTGAAGTTTTTACATCTCCAGTGGTTCTTGAGATATCATGATAACAATCTCAATGTATGGAATTTCATAAGTTTACCTCTATGACCCTTGACCTTTGACCTACGTGCTCCAAAATGTAATCAGATTGTTTTCCTATAGTGATACACACTATCCTTAAGTTTGAAGTTTTTACATCTCCAGTGGTTCTTGAGATATCATGATAACAATCTCAATGTATGGAATTTCATAAGTTGACCTCTGTGACCCTTGACCTTTGACATACGTGCTCCAAAATCTAATCAGATCATCTTCCCTATGGTGATAAATACTATTCCCGAGTCTTAAGTTTAAATCTTAAATGGTTCTTGAGATATTGTGATAACGGTCAAACGGGACGGACGTACGGACGTACGGACGGACAACCCGAAAACATGATGCCTCCGCCACCACCTTCGGTGGCGGAGGCATAAAAACATTCCAAGAGATGGAAAAACAATTTTGACAAGATGTACTGGGCAATAAAACACACCCTTTATTAACCCAGTTGAGAGAGTTTCATTTTCATGTGTTTCCCATAGGTTTAATAACAGAAATCAATTTTTTGTTGTGGTGAACAGCTTTGTATTAATCAACTAACAGAGGCGGGCATGCATTCATCATGACAGTGAATACCACATATCTCGTGCTAAATACAACAAAAAGAAGAAAGAAAACAATAAACCATTCAACAGTCTTGCGTTCTCTGGCCAATAACGGCAGTATTGCTACAGAAACATCAGGATATTTTTACCCTGAATTTGGCACAAACAAATGTGACTAAAGATTTCCTTTAGCAACCAACAAAATATAGCGATGAAAAATAAAGTACTATCATTTCTAAAACTGCATAATTACGGATCTATTGCTCTATTTTGTAAAGTCTTTTCTATGTCTCAAAGAAATGTGTAGTACATTCTTTGCCTCATCCATCTACAACAAAATACAATTTACACAAAACCTAACCAGATACAGGTGTACTACCAAAGTTTGTCTCCCGTTTTTCTTTTTTAAAATTTTCTATTAGGATCTCGTTATTGTTCAGATTGAAGGGAAGCCATTACACTGTCAGCAAAATGAATTAGTTACCTCCATCAGAATGTATGTTTTTCTTAATGCACATATAAACCTTTTTGGGCTAGAGTAATTGCTACAAAGTATTTGATAACAGTGTTCCCATCCCCCCCCCCTTTTTTTCTTCCTTTCTTTTAAAAAAAAATGGTCAACATATATGGAATTGTACTTCCTCCGACAGATCTGTTACCCACAGTTCAATTTTATGCAAGGTGGTCACATATAGGGTTGTAACAAATTTGACTGGGACTTTCCAAGTACATGTACTAACTAATGGAAAGGAAATCGGGCTACAAGATTTACATGAAGTCCTGAACACAGATTTTTTTTGTTGGGTAGGAACATACTGGGTTATACCAAATTTGGCTGGGGCTTTTTTTCCCAAGCAATAGCTAATGGATAGGAAACCAGGCAACATGATTTACTTGAAATTCTTAACACAGACTTTTATGTTGGATAGTATAAACACGGTGGGTTATAACAAATTTGACTGGGGCTTTTTTTCCAGGTACTAGCTAAGCAATAGGTTATCGAGCTACATGTACAAGATTTGCATGAATCTAACATGCTGACTTTAATGCTGGGTTATATATTAGACCATCACATGTACATGTAGCAGAGATCCAGTCAATGTTTCAGATCTACCTGGATCACGACACAGGAAGTCTCACCTATACCTCATAGCGCCTATCTCATGACCGTCACCGAGTACTCGAGAAGGAAATATATATTACCTTATCTCATCATGGCCTTCCCTTTAGCATGGATAATAGAGTGGTGAAGTGTGACGTCATCAAAAATCTATTTTTGGAATTTCTCAATTTTTTCTTCATTTTCCGAAAGAGCATCCATAATACTGTCTGAATGTCGAAAACCAATTGAAAATGTTAAGTATTGGTTGAGATATGACCATCTGAATAAATAGATTTCCTATAAGAACTCAGTGTTATATTGCTTTTGTTCATAACATTACGAGCCAGAGCAATATAACACTGAGCTCCTATATAGGACATCTATTTATTCAGATGGTCATATCTCAGCCAATACTTAACATATTCCATTGGTTTTCGACATTCGACATTATTATTGATGCTCTTTCGAAAAATGAAGAAAAAATTGGGGAAATTCCAAAAATAGATTTTTATGATGTCACAGCTTCGGTACTCTATACTATCCAGGTAACCACATTGCTCTTCTATTCTGTAGATTGGTGATTTACGCAATAATCCTGTCCCTTATGACTTACGTCTTTTTTTCCCCTTTTTATTTAATCTAGAGATGAATATGATCTTGATATGACCACCTAGTAATTTGGGCACCATTTATTATCATTATTAATATTATAATACACCTAGTGTATGACAAAAGAGAGAGAGAGAGATTAAACCCTCAGCAATTATCCTGTTTAACCGGCTGGCAATAGGCCTAATTTACTGTTACCTTAGACAATTAAAGCTCGTTATTTTCGTGTCTTGTTCTGTTTATATTGTTCAATTTCGGCTTTCTGTTCATTCTTGCGTTTAACTCTGATGAGCGCAAGACGAAAAGCTTTAGTATGGCTCTTTTCAACGCGATTCTTCGATTTTGTAGTACCAATCATCTTTTCAGTTAAACCCTTCAGTAAATTATGAATGCAGGCTCACGGGCAGAAATTACTTAGTATTAAGCATAATCCTTGCATATGTATACAAATAGTTGCTGGTATAGTTGTGTTTTAAGAGTGATGCATTCACATTTTTGTATCTCATTACACAAAGATACACTACTATGCCTCGGACCATTGTTGTGTATAGCTACTTTTTTAAATCTCCATTTGCTATTCATTTAGTACACAAAACACCTGCTGTTGTTCTTGACCATGGCGTGTGTGAACAAACCTCAAGGTTAGAGTTTGCACTAGGCCCGTCTTTATCAGCTAGAGATTGCCAAATCACCTGCCATTTTAACAATCCAGAACGCAAATTATCCAGCTAATTTGCGTCTTCATCAGCACGCAGTTGCAATTAGCGGGATATTTGGTAGAGATAATCATCCCTAGATATCTTGGGCTAGTTTGCTAAATATCCCACTATTTGGCAAAATATCCTGCAATTTGTCCGGTGCGTCATCACCCGCCTGAAGACTCGCACTATGCGCGAACACTGAGCAAAATATCTCAAGCTAGTGTCTCGAGCTGATGAAGACGTGATTTGTAACTTTGGGCTTATTTCCCAAATCAGAAATAACAGGCTACTGTATTTGACAATCTCCAGCTGATGAAAACATACCTAATGTGGTATCTGACATGTGATAAACCTTCTGTGACCCTTAGGAATTGCAGTTTGGATTGATTTATTTATACTCTACAGCAGGTTTCATTTTAGCGTGGGGTTGGTCAATAGACCAGTTCTTAATCAGGACATGGTTCAAAAGAACACCTCCATCTGTGTTCCTTAGAATGTACCGTTAGTGCATTACATGGATAATGATTACACAACTTTCATGAGCACGCGCCAGGTACGGTGTTTGTCTAGGTAGATTTTACAATTTTAGTTCAAATGACCTTTATCTGCCAATGCACAGATTGTTTCTACATTCAGTCAACCTACCTTACTTTTGAAGGTCACTTTCACAGGGATTATGATCATACAGATACAAGGGTTATCGCTATATCATGCAGGATCTTGACTTCCCCATCAAGTCCTGCTCTGACGAGAACCTCCTGAGGTTTTCTACCTTACCTTTGAAGGTCACTTTCACCGGTATTATAATGAGTTATTCCTCAGTCACACCTTTGCCTATTAGGCTTGCGTATTGCTGCATACTTATGTCAAGCCGTTTAACATTTATTCTTATTTCTTGATATCAAGAAATTATTTTCAAGTGTAAAGCAGTGGTAATTCTTGATCTCAAGAAATAGGAATAAATGTTAAAACGGCTTGCCATAAATACGCAGCAACACGAGAGCCAAATACGCAAAGATGTGACTGAGGCATTATCGCTATATCTTGAAGGATCTCGACTCTCCCCTTCAAGCCCAGCTCTGGATGAGTTAGTCAATATACACAGAGAACCTCTGGAGGTTACTTCAGGGTGAGTCATTGCTGGTTTCTTTCTTAAAATAGAAGGGAGAAAGAGAAAGAGAAAGGCATTTGCGAAGCTTTCCCTCACCACCTCTGAAGTATAAAGCGAAACCCTCTGAGTGAATACATCTTGGATATAATGCCCAACTACAGATACAGACTAATATTTCAATAAACCATTCCTACCATCTGCAAAAATAAAAACTTTTTAAAAACAGCATATTACTCATCTTCACATACATTAACAGCTAACAATTAAATTATTCATACCCTTACTAAGTTTTGTAATTGTATGAAGAATTTATTTATGTTTCTTAAGAATGTGGCATATTAAAACTCACATCTAAAAGTATTCAACCTGTTCTCCTTTCATTCTTGAGCTACGAAAAGCACAAAACATCAAACTTACAAGGGGCATGAATAATTTGATTGTTAACTACAAGTTGATCATTGATTACGAGCAGACTGATGTATAGACTGTCATGTCTAGTAAAAGTAAATCGAAGACTGTTGGGCAAAATAAAATAGAGAAAGTCAAAGGCGGATTTACATTCAAACTTAATGGTACAGCCTACAGCATGCCAACAAAATAGAGAGAATTAACAAAAAATGTGGAAGAAAAAAGAGAGAAAAGTTTCATGACAGGACCCGTTATAGAAACAATTTTTTTCAAAATTGTAAAGGTACCACCTCAACTAGACAATAATATTCTTGAGATAGACAAAAATACCTTAAAAATTAATCAAAATAAAGAGAAATTGATCTCATTTCCTTACATAAGAACTGATAATGATATCTTCATTAAATATTTTTCCTCCCTCTCGAAAGCTTTTTGCTTGAAATCCAGAAAATAATAATTGACCAACCTAATCCCTCCCTGGCAGTTATAGATCATTATAATAATATCTGCAGACATATTGTGAAAACGATGTTACTCGTCATGGCAGACTAAAATTGCTTGAAACCAACGCCACTGCGCAGATGTCTCTTTGAAATTTACGAAAACGCAGCCAGTTTTACACAGACATTAACCAATGACTTGTTCTAATTTTGGTTTGTTATGATAATTAACATCATTTAAATAACATAAAAGATAACATCGATTTCAGAATACCACACCAGGTTTTCTTACAACCTGATGTCCGTGATCCAGCACAGCAAATATCTCTCTGATTCTAAATGGTTGCATCAACCTAGGAGTTGCATTAATTGTTTTTTTGTTCACATCTCTTCACAAACCACAATCGGCCTTGCTTCCTGGAACTAGTAAACTCCTTCAAGACCTGCAGACATCTCCTGCAGACATCCTGCAAACTTCTGCAGACATCTCCTGGCCAAGGATGTCTCGACTCGAGTTGTCCAAAATGCGCTCAATCCCCTCTGGACGATTCCATGCAATATGTCCTGTACGACGACATATGAAATTTATAAATTTGTTTTCATCCAAAATATTCAAATCGCTCGATATGACCACCGACTATTGTTTTTATCTGGTATCACTAACATTATTAAATGAAAATTCTTACCAAGATTTATTTTTTTCTTCATTTCGGATGAAATACATGTAATATGGATACAAGAGGGATGTTGTATGGGGCACATTGTACGGAATCCCCCCTCTGTATTTCCTCTGTGGTGAAATTCCTCAGCCCTTAGTGTTGGCTGGTTGACTTCCCCTGCAGTTTCTTCTCATGGTGGAATCCTTCCGCAGTTTTGTGATGGTGGAATTCCTGGCATTCTTCAGGTTTGGTCAGAAGGCACAGGGTCAGGAGACAATTCTGTTCTGTGGTTTGCAGGAGTGGTCTACTTGTCTTGTCCAGGTCCTCGGCAAGGTGATGAGCATGTTCCACATCTGGGCTTTGGGATGATTTGAATATGATGTCAAAGCATCTGGAAGATATAAATCAGATTTGTTTCAAGGGTTATTCAAATTGAAGCAGAGTATAGAGTGAAATAAAATTTGCAATGTCTGAGATGGAAATTGTATCTTATTACATTGAATGTTGAGGTAGTAAAATACACATATATGCAATACATAACATTCAGTCATACACAATTCAGACCAAAAGTCTTTTCTTATAAACTTACATGTACATGTACTTTTTCAGGTTTATTGATAGTTAGAATGATTGCTTTAATTTCAATAATCAAAGTAAACAGTAAACATTTAAGAAAGTTTATTCATACAGAACTATTTTTTGTAGTGATACAACATGGATAACGGATAGGCATACAATCAAACAGACATTACAAACTCTTCTGTTTGTATGACCCCAGTTAAATCAATAATTCTCTGTTTGACGTTGATCAAAGGTGTTGTCAACTTTGCCAAGCGCTTGTCCACTATCCAACATTCTTTTTAGGTGATTGTCATAAATGATACAAATGTAAAACAATGTATGCCTTTGAGTTCACAACTGACAAGGTATGTTTATATAGAAATCTAGTGAGCTCTACCAAAACAGCACAGTAACATGCAGGAACATGTTTGTGAACTTGGACATTAATGTCAAACTCTGAAAGAACATGTCAAATGTAGGAAAATATAGAAGTAAAGTGGATCCAGTAACCTTGTAACTTTCGTAAATTTTGGTGCAGAGTTTCGTTCCGCAAAATAAACAAATCACAACTATGCTTTTTTGCGATTTGGAGACAGAATTTCCTTGCCATTAAAATAGCTGTCGTTATTGAATAAATATACAAAACAACAAAACAAAGAACATTGTTCAACATATATGTTGTGAGATTTTTTTTTTGTATGTTGTTATTTTGGTTGCAGTAGATAAAAACAAAAATATAAATGAATAAAAAAAAGTTATTTTGTGCATATGGGTTATATGGGTCACAAGAGACAGTTATAAAGAAAATGCACGCCTCTCATGTTGAGGCAGGACAAACAACATTACACATACCAGTACAGAAAAGGCAATATACAAGCGCCTCTATATTACGAGGACTGGTCAATTTAATGATGTCAGTCGTTTCACATGCCTCAATGACTGAGTAACAATCATTGACATATAACACATCATGTAGCCTTAAAGTTATATTGCAGCGTATTCTCAGACAGAATGTGTTTACACTGAATCTGGAAGTGCCATGATAATCACCTTCTTGTTTGTGGACATCAACTCAAAGGCAAGACACCATACAATAAAAACATGTCATGTGATATATTGCCAAGAGACTCAAAGAGAGACCAAAAACCATGGAAACAGAAAAAATGTCATGCACTGTTCTCTCTTTCAATCCATTCTAGACTTTCTAGTACTAGTACAAGGCTTTATGGAAACCTAATCTATCCCTTTAATCTCAGCCTACAGGGTATGGTGTACAACTAACATGTAGTATGGTCAAGAATCAAGACGCCCACTTTAAGGGTCAAGGAAAGGTCACTGATGAAGGACCGAGGATGGAAGAGGATGAAGAACAAGTATAACTGCAGAGATGTGTGAAAACTAAAGGTCCATCATGCAAGTGTAAATGGTAGTGAAATAAACCATTGGTTTTTCTGCAATGTACTGTAAATGTACCTCATATGTAATGTTTCTACCACATGTATGTACGGTATATTCAAAATGATGAAAGGTCATGCATTTCTCATACACACATGCAACCAATACCTGTGCACATGCACTGTAACGTACACTGCCTGGTAACCTGCTCAGGCTACCACTATCACAACCAGCAGGTACACTTGACCTTTGACCTCAACTCCGAACATACACTCCATGTAATGTTCACTCGCTACTGCTGTACAATGTATCAGACATGAATTAAGATGGAGCTGACAAAGTACACAGGACAAGATAAATATTACAAACTGGTACATTGTATACAATATGTATGGTATATAGATTTCCTGATTTTCCCACGCTTGAGTGACATCGCACTTTTGTCGATTGTAAATCAGTCATGATGCACGATTTCTACTGTCTGAATGCAGTTAGAAATGTTTTTAATCTTGAATAATGGAATAGAATGTAAATAGAGCTTGATCTTCTCACGCCATGTATGTGAATATAATATTATAATTCCCCTGCAACTATATTGCCAAGGGGTAGAATTTCAAAACAAATTATATTCTAGAATCTGTGATTTGCGTAATATCAATCAACTATGAATCTAATCTCGTAGGTCCTACACCCTGGTAAAATTAAAAGGGAAAGACTAGTTTTTGATCTCTCCATATCCCAACGCAAAGAATGGCCTGCACTGGTTCGATAAAGTTTTCATTAAGTACAGAAAACTGAAACAAAAGAATATTCTAAAAATTAAGAGCAATTAACAACAAAGAACTTCAGTCAAAACCTTGTTCAAAATAATCACACTTTAAAACATGTATCATCTCCTGACAAACTTACAGGTACATGTATGTATACAACAAGCAATTCAAGATGGCGACCAGGAGCTAGGGATGAAATCACTGCATTCATATTCAATGACTCATCTTGAATTCCCTGAACAAGCCAGACTAGGCAAGCAAAGTGGCCTCCATTATTACGCATGCAGTCAGCATTGAGTTTCCTCACAATGCACACACTGCTGGCTTATAGCTATAAAGCACTGCATGGACTGACCCACCCTACTTTATACAGTGTGTGTTGTGGTTTTACATGTCTTGTTGTACAGCTTGGTACTCAAGGTTGGATTTTCTCACTCCCTGCCCAGTGGGCTCTAATCTCAGAGTCTGGCAGCCATATTGGATTTCTCCATCTGTTCTTTCTCCATTCCCTCTTAACTTGTAGTTGTACATGTAGTTACCTCAAATCTCTTTTTCTTTCCCTACCCTGATGTAACTCCTCTAATATAGCTCAATGGTGCTAATGCTCACAGAGAGGTATACTATTTCACCAGGGCTTGATAAAACTTGATGTCATGAAAGCGAGATATGTACAGCAAAGAATCGATCTATGTGTCATACAAGATGATACAGTTCAACGCTCATTTTTATAGCACAAGTATAATGTGCGTTGCACTCCTTTGTACCAAGCCTTTTTATATTAGCATCCATAGCTAATTCAAAAGCAGAATCAATTATAACTTGCAGTGAAGCTCAAATAGAGATGTTAAATTCTAAAGACGTAGGCCTACACGGCACTGTATCTGTTTGGGGTATATAATATAGCTGTATTAATCAAGCTATAACTCAGTCTGCAGCATGTGTCTATCACTTTGAGTCATATACTAGCCGCACTAGTTTTACTAAAAATGAAGCAAGTTTGTTTTCTGTCTGGAGCAGATGCAGGCTTCGACTCTCAAGATTTGAATGAAGTTTTGCTGAATGGAAAGTACAACGAGAAAACTGAAAACATTCAAGATATCAGAGGACAACTTGCAACATTTGTATGCCAGAAGTTTAGATATACAAGCATATCAAACATTGTTCTACTTGATAGAGATTTATACAGGTTAAAATATCTGTCCTTTGATGAAATTTGCTTGGCATTGCTCCGGCCTCCATCAATTATATGTCTAACTTACGTACCTTAATTAAATCTACAGAGTATCTTCATGTGCATGTGCTGTTGTACAGCCTACAGGCTTTATTTATGTAAATACTTTGACCAGGGATGATCGAGGCATGCATTTTATGAGCTGCATTGATGTGACTATACTTTAGTATTCATAAATCTTGTTTGCCCTTTAGTGACATTTATTATACAAATGGGGATAAACCATGGTTACTTTGAATGATCTCCCTAAGTGAATGATTGATGAAAGAGAGCTTTATTGCTATTTCGGCTCCATTTAAACTGCGATGCCTATACAGGCAGAATCCATACTTGAGCATTGATTTATACATTGAGCATGATTTATACTCACTAGCAATGTTTCCTGTAAACATATGAAAATGAATGCATGTCCTACAAGCGCGATATTTGCACTGTGCTTATGCCATTTCCTGATGTACTATTCTAACTGGAAAAAATATTGCAAAGAACATGCCATATCTGACGAATGCATCTTTAAATATTTTACTAAACAAGAAATAGTACATGTATAAACCTACAAAAACGGGTTCATGTAGGCCCATAGTTTCTTTTACATGTCTGTGTTTACTTTGCAGAATAAAATCTCATTTTGATGGACTGGTCAACAAGAATTGTAACCGCAGGAAGACAATCAAGATACAGCATTTTTGTGACTTCAGACTTGAAAAACCCATAAACCGTTTCCAAAATTACCCTGTAAGAGCTTGCTCAGAAAATTGTAAATGGCTGTTGATGAGGTGTCAAATAGATTAATCTATTAAAGTGTATCTCATTGGAATCTTTTGTACAATGGATTTTAAGTACCAATGTATGTATAACTGATTAGAAATTGTTGACGTTTATTTATTAGATATTGTCTAGGTACTTCCTTATTAATGTGACGTTGTCTACATGTAGATTTATACTTTATTACAAATAAGCTTCCATGTGTTAATGCCCTTGGTAGTTATAGATGATCTTATGTTGTCTAATTGGCTCATATAGACTTAAAAGTTAAACACACAATATTAAAGTGTCAAGAGTATAGCAGTATGTGTAAGCTCAACGGAGCATCTTCAATAGGCCGCACGGTCTATGGGTCTCTTTGTTCTCTCTGACTGCATTCGTTGGGCGAGGACTACTAACTGTACGCTTACACAAAGAATAAAGACAACTTGGCTGCAGACAAAGAAACAAGCCCCAAAGAATGTAGGGCATTGTCCCTCAATCAATGCTATTCAGTCACCTTCATGTAGGTGACTCCTCATTCAGTAGAATTTGATAGTGCCAAATATCTCTGATAAATCACATATTGTACTGGTAAGTAAACTAAGCAGATTTGATAGTGTTCGAGTGCAATAACGGTACACTTCCTACATTTACGTATATTGAGTCTTACCGACAGTCTGCCACAAGAGCAGGGAGAGACAGAGTCAGAGAAAGAGAGAATTTTCCTCAAACATGCACAAATTATGTACTAGGCCCTTGTCAGTGTCATGGGGACTAGGGAAGGATGAACTGAAAACTACTTATGTCAGGATGTTAATTCCAGCTTCTGTCATCTCGTCCTTTCCCATAACATTAGCAAGCCAGAATAAAGTTCTCTGTTGGCCTGTCTTCATCAGCTCAAGTTTGCCAAATAACCCACTATTTTCAGACCCAGGAAATTATCCCAAAGCTCGAAAATGCGTCTTCACCAGACCGATACGCTCATCACAAACTAGCTTGGACCGGCGCAAATTAGCCTGTTATTTCCCATATAGCAGGATATTTTGGAAACAAGACCAACATTTCTCAGGATATTTTCTCGACCAAATATCCCGCTAATTGCAACTGCTGGCTGATGAAAACGCAAATTAATTAATTTGAGATCGAGATAGTTAAAATAACGGGTTATTTGGCAAACTCGAGCTGATGAAGACATGCCTTGTGACTGTAATCTTGATAGTTGACACAGCTGTCATTCTATTTCTCTCTCTCCCTTTCTTGCTTGACCTCTTCTTCACTTGCCCTCTCTCATCATCATCTATCAGTCTGTAGGTCGAATCTTTTTGTATTTCTTTCAGCCTCCTCGTCCCTAGCCTGTAAGAAATTCATACTTCTATTTTTGTCATCTTTTCTATCACTACACCGGTTTACTAACATATTCAAATTTATGGATGTTTCTTTCCTGGGGACCTAATGACAGGTTATTCCACTAACCTGTTATTAATGAATGAACTACAATACATGGAATCCAGTCTGCAAACATTACTTGTTATGGCAAGCTTTCAGGTTGTTAAGAACAACCTTTGTTTAAAAAGTAAGCATATTATTTTATGTTTTAGTAAACTGGTCTATTTTGAGAACATTGCTACCACTTACTACATGTAACTTTTTCTACATCTAAAATGGCTTTCCTTTTTCTTATTCCTTCCTTCCCTCCCGCCTTTGATCTGTACGTATCAATATTATCACATGTCTCTCTTACTTCCTCTATTCCTCACATTGATCTTCCTCTGATACTTGAACGTTCAAGAAGAATTTGACAAATGCTTGACGGTACTTTCATACTGACAACATCCTTCATCCCTTGGTGTAAAAATTGCAGCTGCAAAGCTAGTGAATATGTTTAGATAGTCTACCCATATTTGAGTCCTACACGAGATACACGGCCTCAATCCAGTATTTTACTGTGTGAATTGCAGCAAAATGTATTATTTATGCAAGAAGTTTCTAGTATTTCAGAATCAGGAGGTGGAAGACTGAGAGAGGGGGATGGAATGAAGATATTCAATTTACTATAACGTTTTTACAGAGCCGTTTTGATTTCGAAAAAGAAATCAGAAATCTAAAAATCAGAGTAGAAATTCCTTTTTCAGAGTATTCTCTGATATTGATGCAAATAAGTTAGGATCATTCAAACACTATGTAAAAGAATAATGAAAAGTATCTCACACCCATCATTACTAAATTAAAACTACTAGTAATAAAAAAAAATTCTTTACATAATATGAGTCATCCCTGAAATCTGAGGGATAAAAATGACCAAAACAGTATCCAGTTCGTAAGCAGAGAGATGACATTTCTTAGGCCGGGGATGAATTACTAACTTTCATATCCCTCAAAGGGCAATTAAGGTTTGCAAATTAAATGTATTCAGAAGCTATGCTGGCTCTAAATGCCAAGGGTAAGCCCAATGAAAAGGCAGAAATATCCACACACAAAAATAAAATGTTACATGAAGATTTGAAGAACACAAACCCTTTCAGTCAAGCTCTTGACATTCAGAACACTATCAAATTATCAAACCAATTAATGGTAAACAATGATTTCAAAAATCATTGTATGCAATGATTCTGGCAATTTTCCAACTATTTCATGACCATCTCTTTATTCTCTCAACTAATGTTTGTTTTTCCTTTATGTACCAAGCTCTATGCAGTAGCTACACTGTACAACAATACAGCATGTTACTTTTGCAAGACTTAATTCCAGCCTTTTCTCAGGACACAATAAAAGAGACAAGGGACATCACTGAGAGAGCAAATATACTTAGGGTCTGCGGAGAATACTCCTTGTAGCGCTCTTTGTGTTGTACTATCAAGATAATCTGCCATTCCAAGTGCACGCCTATGCTTTGGGTGGCAATGGGGTCATTGGCACTGGGGTTAAAGTTCAAAGTGGAGACTGGGTGGGGAAAGGAGTGTATGTTCTCGATGTTTGGCACACTGCCAAATCTACAAGGCATTCCTCTGAAGAGAAAAAATCTACCCATCATCTTCATCTTCTCATAATTATCTCGTTGTCTCTCAGTCTCTCTCTCTCCCTCTCTCTCTCTATCTCTCTCCCTCTCTCTCTCTATCTCTATCTCTCTCTACATATCTCCTCTCTCTATATCTCCTCTATCTCTCTCTTTTTCTCTCTCTCTCTCTCTCACATCAATGTAAACATCCATCTGTGTTACAATGCAATACATCTTGAAATACATGTTCATATTCGCTCTTGTATGAAATTAAGAAGTATCATCACTAAGCTTGCTTCCTCCATCCTCCAAGAATTTTTTCCCCTTTCATCCACAGTAGCTGAAGAATTCTGAAAGTACTACTTGATTCTTGGTAACAACAGTAGAGGTCAAAGGTGAAAGTAGCTCTTCCAATTAGTCATCACCATTTCTTAATATGGAGTTGACCTACATTCTCTCTCACACAAAGGATGTGTGTGGGACTGTGGGTGTGGCTGTGGGGGAAGGAGGAGGCCAACCCTTCAGTCTAATACCGGTAGGCAAATATGAACTATTCAAGTATTCATATGGTGGGTTTGTGGGTGGGTAGCTACAACACCCTTCCAGTGACTCCCACCAGCAAAAATCATATTCCGTATTCATATTTAAGGCAATAGTGGGTTTTGGTGTGGATGGCTGCAACACACTTCGGTTCCACTGACAAAGTTATACTGGTAAATACCAGTAATACAATTTAGAGGATTTCCAGGTTTGTGGCAGAAAAAAGCGGCTTCAAATGACGTATTCAAATTAATAGATATTTAATGTTCATATTATATCCTAAGATATGTGGTCTGCAGAGTGCACACAAGACATCTATCAAAATATGACCTTTGACCCAATAAAAGACGGAACACTGGAGGCAGCATCATCAAAATCTATAGGCTTGTAGAGTATACCAAGATACACCTCCATACAAAATTTGAAAGAAATTCGTCAAGGAATGTGGCAGTTAGAGCGCACACAAGAATATGATGCAGCGGCGTTACAGCTGCCGGATCCAAAGTATCATCCGGCATACTGCCAAGGGATACAATTGGGCAATATGTCAAATCACTCCATTCTCTACACATTGGCAAATAAACGCATGAGGATATCTCGATCCCGTCAGCTGAAATTGCAGATCCAAAGCTGCACTTTACTCTACAGACTACATCTCTCTTTGGTCTACCAGTCAAATCTCACGACTGGAATCTCATTTGCTGTCTATACGGCGTGAGATATTTTGGTGTGTTACGAATCTAGGTATGGAATATCTCACTCCATAGATGGACTACACAGAGAGAAAATTAGTTTAAACTTAAAGAATCATAAAGTATAATAAACATTTAAGCTTGGGCAATGGGCATGATCAGAAGCTCATCTACAGGACACTTCCTCACTGCAATCAATTACTGACTGCCTCAGTACCAATAGGCACACCTGTACCTGGTCACAAATTCATCTTTTATCTTCAAAGAGACCCCTCAATTAAACCCCTATTTAACTACACCATGTATACAACAAACTAGTTTCTTGTTCCATTGCTTGAGAAGTGTTTTTATTCAAGATTGACTTAACCTGAGACACTTTTTGTTACGACTGATACATATATATATATATATATATACAGTGGAGGGCACAAGCAACATAAAACAAAGCAACAAAAGGCATAATGCTGATGCCAACTGAACAAATATGGGGCCATATCCTGAAAGCTTTGTTATCGTTTGTTGGTAAAAGATATATCAATTTGGTCTCGCAAATGATATAAAAAAGGATAAATGTGTTTTACTGGTGCATACACAAATGTCTAGACCTCTTAACTGATGAATAACTCTAACCAATGAATTGCCCTAATTTAGATGTACAGTGAAACCCGTCGGTAAAGACCACCCAAGGGAGACAAAAAAATTGGTCTTTATAGGCAGGTGGTCTTTATGTACAGGTTCCTTTAGAACATGTTTCAATTACCGGTAGAAAGGTTTTCAACAGAACCATAACTTGTGGTCTCTGTAGACAGGTTGGGGCTAAAGCAGGTTTGACTTTATTTAATTTAACATACTTTCACTAACTTAAAAGATAATATAAATTCCAGAATACGGCCCCTGTACCTTTAAAATCTAGGTCTATACTACTTAAAAATTAAACCGGATGCTGGGTTTACGCAAAATTTAAGTCATGTCTGACAAAGCAACTTTAACAAATTGATCTTATAGAATTATAATAATATTTCTGCTTTATTAGGTGCTACGTACATCTATGATGTCTCTCAAAGCACTTTACAAAAATATTGAACAAACTAGACATGTCGACCTTGACTTATATCAAGCTCAAAACCAGCATCGAGTTTAATTGGTTCAGTAGAATATAGACCTTGTAATTGAAAGACTGTATCACTCACCTGTGAATCTAAGCCGATTTCCCTTGAGCTGTTGCCAACTTGACGAGTCAATCAGAAGGGAGAGGAAGACGAGAGAAGATAGTGAGTACAGACAGGCATGGATCATGATATGAATCATCTATAGACGATCTTCGGCAACGTGTTTGTTCCTCACAAGCAAAGAAGACCTGTTTTTGTTATCAACACTTGGTCTGTGACATGAACTGCTAAACAAAGAATGCTTCAGACAAAATAGACATATTAGTAGTTGAAATCTAGATGGTAGATTGACATAAATTGCAAAATGATGGTTGATAAGTGGGCTAGATCAAAAATATAACTATTTAATTTGTCCTATCCCCCCCCCCCCCCCCTCCCCTCTGAAAAAAATAATGGAATTGAACAAGAATATCATACATTTCAATTCTTACATGTACTGTATATGCCTGGACATCAAGAACAATATGTTCATAGAGTTAGTCTTGATGATCTTCAATTTACACTCTCCATCAAAATCAATCAATATCTAATTGTTTTGTTATTTAGCTCAGAACATGAAGAGTACATTTAAGAATAAAATATTATTTGAGATTGAAACAATTTTTTGTTGTTATCAATGAATAAGAGTACCGTATGTAAAGGGGCAACTTATAAGTTAGCAAAGTTCAAATTATGAGCAGATTAGTTGAGCTTCAAAGCTTTGGTATATTTTTCATCAGATCTTTAGCATTGTGCATATAGCGAAGCCTGCTACTGAAATGTGTTTAGAAATAATGTAAGAAAATAAAATTGGGGGAAGAAAATAAAATTGGGGGGAAAAAAATCATTTTCTGTTAAATGCGAACACAATTGAATGGTTAAATGCTATCATGTAAATGATGTGAGTTATATGAACTCTATATGAATAGAACATTTTCATAATGTAACCATATTCAATGCAAACATCTTTGTGAAGTGCCTAAATACAGATATTTCATTCACCTATAGAGAATAATTGTATTTCAATAAACAGAATGCAAAATACATATATCACGCATTGTTACCTAGGGCAAGCCATAATGTTTGATCTACCTGGCAACAACTAATGTATGCAGTTCCCATTCTGACTATTAAAATAAAATCATTTGTAACAGATTAATGATATAATTTGTATCGAGGCACTTCACAAAGACTATTTGGTTACATTACGAAAATGGTCCATTTGAATTTCAATCAGCTGTAATGATATACTACAAAGCAGAAAGGAAATAAATATCAGAATATACATATAATGTGAATATTAGTGAATATAATAATGAAGGAGAGAGTACAGTCAATGAATGTAAATATAAGTATTAGGTTTCAGGAACCCACAAAATTATGACAGTTTTAACAAACTCAATTCTATTTCAAGGGACAGGGTGGAGAATTAGATCTATCTCATATTTTGGCAGAACAACAAAACAAACTCAGAAAATCAAAATTACATGTACTTTAATGACTTTCAAATGACAGTATTATCAAAGTAACTGCTCTACAAGAGCAAAAATATATCTCTTTAGCCTTGTTTCCAAACCGGTATGACATACCAAACCGCCTATAAAAAAAACCTACCACGGCATAACACAATGATCTAAGCAGTTAAGCGCAGTGCTCTTCACTTTTCTTTGAATTACAACACACAGATATTTAAATGCACCTATATGTAGGAGCATTGCTGGCTTGCTGCACACATTTTTTCCCAAACTCACCTCCCATTCTTTCATACATGTCAAATGAATGTTAACTCAATTGTATTTTGATGGAGAGGTTTATGAAAAGGGTTTACTAGGGTATGAGTGAAAGAACCACATTGCATCTTTTTCTGCCAAGCCGTATGGAATTCTGCTGAGCCATTTACTGTCCTCAGCAAGCCACATCCTCAAATTAAAAGGAAAGGATGCAGGAGAGAGTACCTTGGATTTGACGCCCTAGATATAATTGGGTCCTAGGGTGTTTGCCATGATTTCATAACCATCTGCCAAGAACTCTCCAAGGATGCTACTATGATACTAGTGTTACTGGATTCCACTAAACCTTGATGTCACTAAATAATAAACAGAATAGCACGTATTTCAAGGAGGCCAAATGCAAAATATATTTTGTCAGTGGCATGAACTTTCCATCCCTCCCAATCATCAAACACTGTTTATAGACCCCCCCCCCTACTCCTGCAATCATAAATTGTCTATGGTACCTCCCCCCCCCCCCCCCCCCCCCCCCCTCCCCTCCCCTTCCAAACCACCATGACACATTGTCTATAGAACCCCTTCCCATCATTCATCATGAAACATTGTCTACAGTCAAACTACCCCATCTCCTATTATGAGATATGAATTGTCTGTATTACATACATACCCCCCCCCCCCCAATCATGAGTAATGAGTTGTCTAATGTGCCCCGCCCCTTTCCCTCCCAACCACCATCATGTACTCAGTAGTAGTAAGCCTTCCTTTCCTCCCCACTACATAGCAGGGTTGATCACTGCCATGCTACGCTTCATGCTGTTCATACAGTACTTACAGCCAGACTGCAGGCACTTCCTGTTAACAAACATGAGCACAGCGTCTGTATATGTGCATGTACTTGCAGCTGTGCATATCTCTTCTTCTGTGCCATATTACTATCCCAACATGTAACAATACAAGAACTATGTCTAAATGTATTTGATGCTGAATGATTTCAGAAGCAAATTTATGGGTACATTGCCAACTGTTGAGAGAGACTCACATATTTTACTCATTGTACGGTTGTGCTTCAAAATATGCTCATGGTCCCCTTTTCTACGAGGGGATTTTTTTTTCCTTCTCATTATGAGAATGTCAATACAAAGACTTGAAGCATGTGTCCTTGGGTTTTCCACGGAGTTTGATACATCCTCCATTGACTGTGAGGGTTCACAAACAATTCAAATACACTGGCACATTCTTCGAATGCAAACGATGTGTACATTACACTACACTGTTCATCCACAATGTACAGCACAGCTTGTAAACTCTCAAAGGACCAGACTACCTGTACTAAAGATACTTGAACACGATCAATATGACAAGGAATGACCTTTGACCTCAGACTCTTTATGTCACCCACCTACAGTCCATGGCATCTCATAACCTTTACAGTATTGCTGGCTTTCAACAAGTCCTATACTGAAACCTGTATACATACGTACAGGTATTGTCAGTTAAGGGTTCCATTAAAGACTGTATAAGGGGGAAAATGGACAGTCAAACCTCTTTATAAAGGCCACTAAATGGAAACAAAAGAAGTGGCCACTGTAGACAGGTGGTCTTTATAGAGAGGTGGCCATTTAGATAGGTTTGACCGTACAATTGTTTCATATCCATGTAAATGAAATGAATCAGGATGATATTAAACTGAATCTATATCTGACACAGGATATGAGTCAGACATAAGGTCCAAGACTGAATAAATTTAGCAAGAGCTCTGGCATCTGTTGAGAGACACTTGGTCATTATGATTTGTGTGACTGTGTACGCATGTATCTGAAGAAATTGGTTTTAAAGGCATACAATACACACCTGATTGACTTTTTGTTTTCATGAATGTAAACCGTATGTGTAGGCTACATTGTATATCAAATCCTGATGTTCGATGATCTTTTGAGATTTTGGCCCCAAACCTACCTAGTCAAGATGATTTTTTTTTTTTAAAGAAACAAAGATTATTTGTGTAAAGCCTTTGACTAAATACCTTAAACTCCTTCACTGTTTTGATAAGCTATTAATGTCATTTCTAGGGAGGATTCAGTTCTCTATGTACATGTACATCAGGAGGGCTTGCCAGAACTTTTTGCTTCTACTTATATACATGTATGTTTCACTATGAAGAAAAACAATGTGTGTGTGCGTTTTATAACAGACAAGAATCAATCAGATATGATTATTTACGTCTGAGACTGGCCATCCAAAAGACATGGGCCGATCAGAGTCAATTTGTACGCGAAGAGAGAGAACTGATAATACCACCGAATGGCGTGGATATTACCGCTAGACCAACTCATATTACTTTACTAGACTGACTAAAAGGCTTGGACAAGATAAGTCGGACAATTTTTCATAAATTTTTTTAATTAAAAAGTTGTTATAATTCATTCCATGTGAGAGCTTCCATAACATGGTCAGACATGAAGAAGAAAGACTATAAAAAAGAAGACAAGAAAACCCAAATTATGTGGCCATGTCGGTACAGTCCACGCCACAAAGGACAAGAACAGATTTGCTGGCACAATGCAAACGTAACTTGATGGAGGCCAAAAAGCATAACACGCCAGTGCCATGTTTTATCAATGCAACAATTGGAATAACCTATTCCTATCTTGAATTTTCTTTAATACCATCAGTTGCCAAATTTTTTTGAATAACATAATAATAATAAATATTAATAATGGGTTCTTGTAAAGCGCTCATGTCAGTCAAATTTGACCCTCCTGGCGCTCCCGATTATTACCCTGGCTTTAGCACGGCTGCCATACGGCGCTCTAGCATTTAAAGGAATAAATTCCTACCAGGAACCCATTTACTTCACCTGGGTGGAGTGTGGCAAATAAAGATCAATGTCTTGCCAAAGGACATTAGTGTGTAACAGGGTCATGCCTTACCTCACTTATTATAGGACCACTGCTGCCACCAGTTCATTACTACAATGCAGAAGACTTGATAATCACAAAGATGCCTAACAAACTGTTTTTTACACATGAAGATGAAATACTATCTGGGTTGTTGAACTTCAAGTGTCTGAGCAATAAGCACAGATGACAGCTCTGGAGACCTGTAGCTAAAAGCTCTCTGCCTATCGATAACATGTTTACAAAGACATCTCCTGCAAAAGAAACTACAAAAGAAAAGAATACCAAATATGACAAAATACCTATAAATGTACATTTGCAACCGTTTATGTACAAACCAATAGCCTGAAAATGGAAGAAAATTTATTTGATCTTTTTCTCTTTTTAATGGAGGAATATCAAGGTATTTCCGCCTCCGAATGAAACAGTAAATGGTTTCTGTATCTGGGTAAAAGAAACTGTCATAATAGCGTGGGTTCCCCAGGAAGAGAGAGAGAGAGAGCGCGATGATGCAAGATTAGTAGATGAATCTACAGTGACTCACCTTGGGTTAGGATTTGTTAAGTGGAGTTTCAAACATAGTATGGAGTTCTCGTACTTCACTGGACAGTGCCTCTGCAGCCTTGGTTGCCTGCGAGATGGCCTCTTTGTACAGCCCCTTCCTCTTCTTATCGTAGTGCTTCTTGAACTCCCCCAGGAACGGTGGAAGCTTGGTGAGCGGCATGAAGGAGATGGAGCGCGACGCGAACCAGGTGATCTGGGCCTCCTGCAGAGTGATGCCGCCCTCGTTGCTTCGGGTCACGATGATCTGGACGATGCGTCCCGGCCACCAAGGGAACCCTGTGATCTTCCCCCAGATGATGTCACCTACACAGACTGTTCGACCTCCGGGCAAAATGCTCTTGGTCACATTCTTCTTGTGATTGCTGGGTTTCACTTCCTCTTCTTTCTTCTTAGGGGCTACCGTTGACGATGCATCAGAATCAAACTCATATTCTGAATTGTTGTTGTTGATGGAACCATTCTGCTTGCCCTTCTTACCACCTTTCCTTGATCCTCTACTAGTATAAGATGAACAATCACTGGCTGTGTCACTGATCTCAAATGGCGGCAAGATATTAGGGGTGCATGGCAGTTTTTTCTGCATGATGCTTAGTGGCCGATACCCATTAAGTAATGTTATTGGCTTGACAGTGACATTTCCTACTAGTTTTTTTCCATTCACTATCTTCGGTGACCCAGGTAGAGGGCCATAAGTTCTCATTGATAATGTTTCTGAAGGTATTGAATAAGTTCCTTTGGTCTTTACAATCCTGATCTTATCATGCTGGGTATTCACTGGTGCCTTATGCAGACCGTTCATCTTCTTTAAAGAGTCAATTGTATGCTTACCAAGTGAAGATAACGGTGACAATGGAACGGTTAGTACTCTGTTCTTATTCTTGGAACCGATCCCTGTAGAAGGAGAACCTTGCTTAAAATTGTTTGTGCGAGGTGGTATCCTCACAATCAACCTCTGTCCTTTCCCAGGCGTTGCATATGATATCTTGATGGCAGGGCTAGTTTTCTTGAGAGACTTGTTTACTGACTTTGCTGGAGTACTCAATGGACGGGAGCCTGACGCCCCTGCATTTGGTTTAGCCACATGTGTTCCACCATTTGTAGTCACCCGAGGGTCGGGCCTGGGCTTTTTACGGACAACATCACCTGAAGAGTCTGCTTTCCTCTTCTTTAGACCATTCTTATCAGGTCTGTTACTTGCAGCAGTCTTTGCTTTAGCTGAATGACAAGCCCCTTTGCACTTGCTACAAAGCAACTGTCGAGGCCGCAGCCGAAACTGTCTGGACCTTACATGGCTAATTGTCTTTGGTTTGATTTCTGGTGTCTTCTCCTTCTTGCCGAAGAGAAGTGGTCTTGCAGGGGGCAGTGGCATATTCTGGAAGTAGGACTGTCTGAAGCTCAAGGCAGAGTCCTCTACTTTTGTAGCAGTGTCCCCTGTGCCCGGATCCTGTTCGTGCTTGATGAAAGCGGTGTCTATGACTGGCACGCCAAACTCCTTGTTAAGCCGTGAGCCGAGGTTTGAAGGGTCTGGTACACCTACAGGACATGCTCTAAGAGAGCACCATAAACACACAAAGAATCTCAATCAGACATTTGGGCATAGTTATCTGACTAATTATATGTACTGGCTAAGGTATAAAAGTAACCTAACCTGGTTTCATAATTGGAAATGGGGAGCATAATAAAAGATTTGGTTTTCATCCATTTCTTGAGATGAAAATCAGTAGGGTCAGGAGAACCAGTTCTTTTTCAAATTTCAATAAAATAAAAGCTCTATATCAGCAGCATCCTAATGCTCTTGCTTATTAGTCTCTATAATAAGAGACACCTTGTTTTTTTTAATACTTAATTATAACAAATCTGTTCAACAATCTGGCTGTTGGAAGAGTTTAATACCCTCCAATTCCCTCTTTTTTCAAGTGGCCAACTCAATATTAGGGTTGATATTTTTAAACATGTTCAGTTGACAAATTTGCTTGCTTTGAGCTATTGGGCAACTGTAACAGTACCCTTTATTCACTTTCAAACAGCTGATACTATCAGAACTAACTCAGGATGTAAAAGGGGTAGTGAGGGTTCAGGGATACCAGGACGTGTACAGCGGATAAATTTGTATGCATCTGTTCTTATTATTAACCTGTTGTACATATACCATTTCATTTGCTTAACACATGCGCTTTCTATAGATCCTAGTCTGAGACTTCTAGGAAGATACTGTTGTCAATAGATTATTTGCATAGAATTAGAAAATGAAAGACATTCCATGGTAATTATCATTTTATAAAAGTTATATATCTCTTATTTGTAGGATGTGTCTCATAAACCTAGATTCTGGGGAACAAATGTGCTGGTATCCAACTGTGGAGAGCAGCGCAGAATATGAACATATTTCATTATTGACAAAGATATATTGATCCATGACATCTTGAATCGTTTGGTTTTTCTGGAGTCACTTTTGGTAGCAACTAGAGAACAGGATTCACACTTTCCAAGTAAGTAAAGCTACACTGTAAGGCTGAAATCTGAGGGGAAATATAAAATGCATTGTGGTATCAGATTAGAGTTAGACACAACATCGGGAGTTAAGGAGTTAAGGAGTAGGTCAAGCTTCAGCAAATTCTCCCACCAGGGTCCTTGGAATCCTGTCTAAATCTGAGCATAAGAAAGAATAAAACAAAAATGTAAAATTCAAGAGAATGTTAGCGCTACAAGAGGGGAGATAAAAGACGACTTGTGACTTTCATTAAATGATACATCTATCTTTTGTCTCCTGATCAGATGAAAAATTTCAAGATGACAAAATCAACTTTTCTCTTTAAAATTCCTTGAATAATATTGCAACTTTTCTTTTTTAATTCGTTGGATAATATTGCAACTTCAAACCACATTGCAGCTGAACAGAATTTGTGGTAGACTCCTTTTTTTCCACTAGCACTAGTCTATGTCAGAGCTACCAAGTATCACGCATTAGGCGTGACATCATGCATTTCGAGGGTCTGAAAATGCTCTTACGCACGACGCCAGCGCTAGATTTTGAAAAAACGCTATACCTTATACGTGTGTTATACCCTCGCACGCGCCGAATCATGAAAATGTCACGCATTGCCGATCTTTGAACTTGGCGTCTCTGCTATGTTCCTACATTACCTACCGGTATAAAAACTACAAAGCTAACAATTAAATGGGCGACATTGATGTCCATAGACAGTCAGACACAGAAGAAGAATAAATGCTATGATACAAATGTAGCTCTTGCAGGATATTCATGACTGAAAATCTTACCAACAAGAAGTCATATTTTAAAACATGACAGAACAGAAGTTATAAAGAGACACATCTTGATTTTGGGTAGTTCCATCAGATGGTTACAGAGGGCTTTTAACTATAGTCATGATTTTTGTTTTCATTATAACCAAACCTGGCTCTAGAATTTAAATTGGACAGACTCTGATGACTTGCTGAAAGAACATGCTGAAAGAAAACGCTAGTCATTGAGGAAAAGTACAATGTTAGGGCATACGTTATTATTAATATAGAAAGAATTACTTCTGATCACCTGTCGTCTTAAGGTGTCATTTACCCAACACAGTGAAAGCTGTTCACTTTCACTCTTTCGACCTCAGATTTTTTCCTTTCATTTTTTTAACAATTTCTTTTGCATGATTTAAGTTGAACAGCGGCAGACTACAAAATAATGGAATCGGTTACACCATATGTATCTCATTATCAATTTGTTTATCGTCATTACGGCTACTTTAGGAAATTGTTATCTTTAATGAGTTTCTCAGAGGCAAAGACGTTTCAAAAGCATTAATGCAAAATGACAAGTGGGACGATTGGAATGGGTAGCAATTGTGTAAGCGACGTAAACAGCAAGTCAGCAACATAATTTTAACTTAAATCAAGAATATCATATATTTTCGATTTCTTTCACCTTTCCAATATTGTACAGATATAATTTCATCTTACTTTTATTAAATAAACCTGTTATTATAACTTTTGGCATCATCTTTAATTTTGACAGCACCCTCCCAACAAAATCCTATCATCATAATTGACAGCCAGGCCCACTCCTATATTTTTCGAGATTTCATGGTCACTTTTTACACGTATTTTTCACTTACCCTGAGTTTGAGTCGATCAGAACACCACGAAAAACTTTACCCCCGGACTTCAGTGATACCATTAGCAGGTCTGGAAGAGCTTGTTCAACTTCAACTGGTAAGACAGATCCGATTTTCGGACTGTCTTCTACGATTTGCGAAGCCATTTTTGGCTCCAGTAATACAGCTGACATAGCCAGCTTTTTTCATGGGTCGGGTCTGGCTATTTGTGTACTACGTGAATGGACAATTTACGTCCCCATTCGATTTCACACGCCGCATACAAACACAAACGCATCAACGAGAACAAGGGAAAAGCTGTGTGTATCCCGCGCAAGGACACACAGCGCATGCGTAAATGTATTGCTTTCAGCGAAGTATATAATTCGTACAAAGCTGTCAAACTAAACCGTATTTCAGTAGAGATTTACATCGTTGTAGTATAGAATTCTCTATTAAAAAATGACATAGATATACAATTTCCCTTATAAGTTTCATATTTGTATACGTTTCAATTGACAAATTGTTTTAAAAGGCGGGGAAATTTGTATTTATATCATTGATGTAGTTCGCGATTATAATGTTTACACCCGCATATGCGACATACCTCGTAGTAGTTGTAGTAGTATGTCAAGGGAGCGTCTTGAAAGTTCAGAGTTTGCGCAGAAACTTACTAGATACTGTTATTCATAATTTGAGTGTCTCGCCTCCTCCCAACGAAAAAGTTGGGGGGGGGGGGGGGGGGGGCAAAACGCATTTTGCCCCCCCCCCCGAAAAATAAGCAGCAGTAAAGGAGTATTAAAAAAATATTACAAAATTAAACTAAAAAAAAAGTAAAATGATAAAAAACCAGACTAATTGAATGACATAAAAAATAAAAATAATCGGGAATTAAAATTTCTAAACATTCTTTATGCCCTATATTTATCAATCGATGGATTTGTATTAGCAATACGCGTATATCGTTGAAATATTGTGAGAGGATGGGAAAGATATATATATATATATATATTTAAAATATATTATAGGGGTGAGAAGACATGAGCCCCTGAAGACGTGCGTACTGATGGGGGTTTATTTCTAATTCGATACCGGTGATTTACAATTGTTGTGGAAATAACATGATTTTTTGAGATTTTTCTCAATTTTTTTGTAAATTACCTGTATGTATTGTATCGTATGCGTTTGTTGGAAATTACAAATTCCCAAATTTACAGTCAGGCAAAAGATATGCTTATTTAGAAGCCTTCAAGTCAGGGCCTGCAGAACGGCGGGGCTCGGGGGCTCGAGCCCCTTTCAATTTTGACAAAGGATGTTTAGGAGAAAAAGAAGGAAAGAATGAGTGACCTGAAAGTGAGCTTTCAAAATATGAGCTTCCTTTGCCCCCTGGACTCTGTCCACCAAGGGCCCTAAGGAGAGCTCCTGGATGCTCATCTAACCATAATTAAATACATTAAACCCCTGAGCCGGTGCATGCTCTGCCCCCTGTACCCCACCAAGGGCCTATGCTAGGCGGGCCCCTGCATGGATGCTCATCTGAACGTAATTAAATGCCTAAAACCCCTGAGCTTCATGGGGGTACAGCCCCCTTGGACCCGCCCCGCCAATTAGTGACCTGCCAGTGTCACAAATGAGGTATCTAGATCTGCTTATCTGACCGTAATTTAATGCCTAAAAACCCTGAGCTTCCGTGGGCTCCGCCCTTGGCCCCCGCGCCGGGGAAAGGCCCTGGACCCCACGCCAACTTACGCTCCACTCACTTCGCTCGCTACGCCTGATCAATACTCCACTTTGAAAAACGTTCCCCGGGGCCTATGTAACAAGTTAGAGTGGTGGCATGATGCAGATTTTTCTCTCCCCCCCCCCAAACTACGTTTTTGCTCATTACGCCACGGACTGCCCCTGGAAGGTGATCGAGCCCCCTGGAATGTTTGCCCCCCCCCTCCCCCATCCTAAACTGCTTCCGGCGCGTCTGTCTGTCATAATGTAAAGAAAACAGAGAGAGAGAGAGAGAGAGAGAGAGAGAGAGAGAGAGAGGGGGGAGAGAGGGGGGGAGCATGCAATTGGAGAGAGGGGTGAGGAAATGAGAGCGAAAAGGAAAAGGGAAAAAGGAAATAAGCTCTCGAGCTTTCGTGGGTTATCCTGTTCAAGCTGACTTATTTTTGATCTGTTATTATTGTATATTGTTGTATGTTGGAAGCTTGTCGAATAAAAATCAATCAATCAAGGAGATGACAGGGGGAGAAAACAGGATTCATTATGACCGCATGCCGCACGTGCCCACGCTCCGCCAAATTTAGCCAGTATAACATAATTGGCAGAGGTACATAAACATTCTCAGGTTTATTTAGAGTCAATGAATCTATAGGGATATTTTACTTTTTTTTTTAATTTGAAACAAAACAATACTAAACAGTTCACTACAGGTATATGGGGTGGGAGCAAGGCATGACGAAGGGAACACCGAACGAGGGCCCTTTTTCTACTCCAAGGAAAAAACAAAAAATAAAGGTCCCCCATCATGTCATGCATCCCCTTTCATTCTGACCGTGGTCCCCTCTTACAGGTCCATAGCCGGAAAGCCACAGAGTCCGGTCATCTGAATTCCATTGATAATTAAGATCAGTCGCTTCATGTTTTACTAATTTTTAAATATTTATTCATTCATTAAAATTTATTTAGCACTTGTAGGATGAATCCTAGCTGATCATCACGGATGTTGTTTATCATAGAGGTGTATTAAAAATGAAACAGTTCAACCACAAATAACCGAAACAAAAAATTGAAAAAAATCAATGAATTTACATAATACGAATATAAAAATAAAAAAATCAAAAGAAATACACATCAAATTTCTGTATAATTTTCTAGTTTTACCTGTTTAGTTTTAAAGAAGGAAAGATTAATACCAGACAGGTTAGGGATACTAGATCGAGGCCTGGTTCCTATACTTTGCTTACACCCTCCCTAAATCTCACCAATCTGCATAACAATTACAGCTTTATCTGTCAATTAAGTTTGAAGAATGAATGAGCAATACCCGATCAAATGGGATAGGGACTAGAATTGGGGCGAGGACCTATACCTATTCTGATGGGGGGGGGGGGGGTAAGGTTTTCATTTTTTAAGTCAGCCATTGGCATAATTTTTTTATTTTGTTTAATTAAATAAAAAAAAATCTCAAAGGGGGGTGTTTTGCTCAAAAAATTCAACCCCCAACCCTCCCTCCTGCGTACGCGCCTAATTGAAACTATTCTAGACGATTTAGGACCTATCAACTTTTTGTGTTCATCTATCTATTATAAAATTAATATAGTAGACGCGTGAGAATGGTTTTGACTGTAGCAATTTTAAAGCACCCTTTCATTTCGTCTAATCTCATTTGTTATAAGTTAGTCTCATTTAAAATTAATTCTCATGCGCCACTAAGTCATCATGGAGCCCCCCCCCCCCCCCTCGCCCCCGTCCCCTCCGGGCAACACTGTAATGCTGCCGTGAGTTATATTTGAACTTGATCCGTTCCTCAATTTACTTCAGTAGGCCTATATCAACTGCCAACTTACCTTTTCCTTTTCTTTCCTTTCAGTCTCGCTTGTAGCTAGCTTTCAGCTTACAGCGATAGTTTGTCCATTTTTCTTTCTCCCCCTTCTCTCTCTCTCTCTCTCTCTCTCTCTCTCTCTCTCTCTCTCTCTCTCTCTCTCTCTCTCTCTCTCTCTCTCTCTCCCTCTCTCCTGCCCCTCTCTCCATTTCTATATCCCACGTTATTATCACTCTTATCGCCCTATAGTCTCTTCTCCTCATCACCCTTTATGGTTATAGTTATTAATTTGTAATAAGCGCCTTTACGAACATTATCTTGTATTAATCTATCATTATATAACCAGGCTGTTTTTTTGTTGTCTATAATGATATTGGTTTGAGCATGAACCATGGTTTGAGGGACCTGACCTCTACAAGCTAAGCTTTTCTTAAGGTCTCCTCGTCTTCTTTTTTTTTCTCTCACTTAAATGCATTAATTAAACGAACTTGCTCCTTTTATATACTCTACATGTTACAAATTTGTTAAATTGTATTACACTTATGCTAGAAGAAAGAAAAATAAACTTGAACTTGAACTATCACTGTGATGATCTTTCCGATCAATCTTATAGGAGTGGGGCGGGGCCAAAACGACTTTGCTGCAAAAGTACTGTTCAATACAATGAACGTGTCTGAACGCAGAGAGGGAAATGGCGCCATCTAACACGCTAAATAAAGTTTTATAGTCAAAAGAAGGAAACACGAAAGATTATGTATTTTATTCATTTATTGCAGATGCGAAATAATCCAAGTTTTATACATACGACTTGTTGATTCCTCGAAATAGACGCTTATGTTTTTGTTTGTGCCACGTCTATTAATTCTGTGTTATATCTTAATGTGCTATGTATTTTTATTTTAACTGGAGTGTATAAACATTATGCTTTTTTGATGTAAATATGTTCATGTTTATTCAGGGCCCTGCATGGAAGACCACTACTAATTGGTGAATGGGCTACCCTGACAAAAGATTAGAAATAAATAAATTTCTATGTAACATTATAACAATACCGTATATAACATCAGTACAATTTTATTTTCTTTCTATATACGGTCAAACAGAACTTATTATGTTGTTCATTGAAATGGAAAGTTATTTTACAAAAAAGATTTATGCAATAATCTATTAATTTCGTATTCTAGATGTTATCAAGTTTTGGGAGAAAAAACCCCGTTATTTTATTTTTCTTCAAACATCGATGGTTGCGTGTGACATTATGACATACGCCCGAATTTGAGACTACACAATACACGTGGCCAAAGCTGCGCTTGGCTACAAGACTAGTCTCTCTACAGAAAGACAACGCGTCGTCACCGATTGACCTTAGACTAGATCTAGTATCAGTTTTGAATTGGCTTGCTTGGTCGATCAGCCTTGTATTGCCCTTGGAGCTGCAAAATGTTATGTTAGAGTGGGCACGAATTGTTGATCCACATCGTTCCAAGATTTGAAATTTGTTGATGAAACCTGGCGAACCAGGCCGGTCACCAGCGGCAGATGCCGAAGCAACGTAAACAAGCGGGTTCGGGCATGAGCATGGCTGCCCGAACTCGGATAGCAGATTCAGGGGGAGGGGCCCGCAGCCGGGAAACTAAGACTAAACCTAAGTCTGGAAACGGGGCGCAGTCTCGCAATAATGAGACGCAATCATCTTCTAAGAATTTCTTGGTGTTTCTTTTAACCGCTCTGGTCGTTAGTATACCACTCATGCTCTTGTGGTATCAGCACGTCCTCAGATCTGCAGTGAAGACTCCTCTTAGTGCTCCTCTCACCATCGCAAACGATGCCAGTTCCGCCGCCAACAGTCCCGGGCGATTTTGGGGCACCTACCGCCCCGGCGTCTACTTTGGCTTAAAAACACGCTCTCCGAAATCACCTGTTGCGGGACTAATGTGGTTCCAACAACCTACCTCGCCTAGTCAAAATCCAGATCTCAAATTCAGGCATACATGTGAACAAGGGGATGGGTTGGACAAGTATGGCTGGCTTGAACATGATGGAGTCAATTTTGGAATTCAAGATATTTTTGATGGTCCACTCCAAATCAAAACTGCTTTTGCCAAAAGTGGAGGTGGTGCCCATGGAGGAGACTGGTCAGCTTCTATTTCTGCCCGATACAAAGATGGAGTAGACGCTGTAAGTAGTTGGTTAAACCTAGCTGCCTCTTAGATCTACCTAGTAGACCCTAGTACAAGTCAATGATCTCGTTTGTGCTGAGTTTATTATTGAAATGAGTAATGTCTGTAATTGTAAGATTATATCTGCACAAGTAGGCCTAAAGTTAGATACAACTGTCAATATTACGTCCTACTGCACCTATTCAAAACAAGACGAAAGTTAAGATTAAAAAATTACACTTCATGATAAGGAGCTAAACTAGACAAAGTCTAAAGACAGATTGAACAAGAATTTTCAGTTCGTAGCTTTTTAAAATATTAACTCATTAATTGATGATCATGTTTGTATTAACATTTTCATTGCCTGGATATACATGTATATGTTGTGATGTTGCAATGAGCATACTGTTTAGCTTTGTACTAATTCTGTGTCCTTAGAATCAGATGGACATTCAAACATTACTATGTAAACACAGAAAAGAATTACTAGTACTGAAATCAGGGTTCCCATGGTCATTGAAAATGACCAAAAATCTCTACAAGTCAGGGAAAGTAACAGAAATTGTGAGGGGAGGCAGAGGCCATCACAAACATTAAATAATATATATCACTGCATGGTATTCTAGGCCGCTTTGATGGCGCAACCCATCTGGTCATGGAAAAGGTAAAAAATGAGTCATAGAAAATCGTGGATAGTCTTGGAATATTGTACTCGAATGTCTGGGGGAACCCTGTGAAATATTTAATAATGATATTAATTTTATTTAAACATATTTGTGGCTTACACCCAGTAAATAAGATGGATCGATCGATCTGTAATTGAAAATTGATCTGTTATTGTTTTTTTCAATTAGAAATTGATCAATCAATCTTATTTACTGGGTGTAAGTCACAAATATTTTTTTAATAATTGAAATTTCTCCCAGGAAGCTTTACATTTATTAAAGATGTTCTTTTTGTATCATTGATCCTGCAGGCAAAGGAGAAGAGTACGTTGAGTCTCCTGTTCTACTTTGCTCTGGATGGTCAGGGATCCATTGAACCAATCTTGAATGGAAACCAATTGCAGGGCATCAAGGGTACCACTGAAGAACTTGGGAAGTTTGTCCTTCGATTCCCGCAATCAACCAAGGTCAAGATGAACAACTACCTGGTGTCCTACACACCGGGGCTCCACGCCATCAAGGACCTCGTTACGCGTCGGTTCAAGTATCACAAGAAGAAGACCCAGCTTCTTGGCCTGGTTGGGAATGATCAGCAAACGATTAAAGCGTCACCTGACAAGACAGCTAACATCATCGTGTATCAGGTGACCGTGGCACCTCCATATATCATGGATGTTGTGTTCGAGTCTGGAAGCAAAACGAACAGGGGGAAGGAGCTTGCCGGTTCAGAGCTGACAAGTCTCGTGCAGAGTTACAGCGACGATTTCAACAAGCTGTTTGAAGAGAAGTTTAGTTTGACTGGGAAAGGGTACGGACCTACTGAAGTTGCCTTTGCCAAAGCAACGATGAGTAACATGATAGGAGGTATCGGATATTTCTATGGGAGTTCAATTGTGAAATCAAAGCATAATACAGAACCTGTGGCTTACTGGGAAGCTCCTCTCTACACTGCAGTGCCTTCCAGGTCTTTCTTTCCTCGAGGTTTTCTCTGGGATGAAGGGTTTCACAATCTCTTGATTAGCAAGTGGAATCCATACATCAGCATTGACATCATAGGCCACTGGCTTGATTTGATGAATGCAGATGGTTGGATACCTAGAGAGCAGATTCTGGACTCCGAGGCCAGGAGTAAAGTGCCTGCCGAGTTTGTAGTGCAGCATGATACAAATGCTAATCCTCCTACATTTTTTCTTCCCCTCCAGTCATTATTAAGAGATGGATCATCCGTCATCCCCAAAAAAGAGTTTGTCTCATTCCTGAAGCATATCTACCCCAGGCTAGATAAATGGTACCAATGGTTCAACACAACCCAGTATGGTCCTGTCCCAACATCCTATCGTTGGAGGGGTCGTGAAAGCAAGACGAATCGTGAGTTAAATCCCAAGACACTGACCTCCGGATTTGACGATTACCCTCGAGCCTCGCACCCTTCAAATGAAGAACGGCACATTGACCTGCGTTGCTGGATGGCATTGGCTTCAAGCGTGATGGTTGAGATTGGCAAGACCATTGGTTTACCCTATGCTCAGTACGAGCACACCTTGCAGCTCCTTACTAACAATGCCCTCCTAGATAAGCTCCATTGGTCCCCGAAGGCTAAGATGTTCAGTGACTTCGGGAACCATACGACCCGAGTTGTCTTAGAGCGCCCCCATCCACCACCCCGTCAACCAGGTCAACCACCAGCTCAGCAGATGGAGATGGTCCGTGTTGTCAAATCCAAAGTCGGACCCACCAACAAGTACGTTAACTCGTTTGGGTACGTCAGCCTCTTCCCATTCCTTCTTCAGATTCTGGACCCCAACTCTGACAGACTCGGGAAGACTCTCACCGACATGAAAAACCCAGATATGCTGTGGACCAATTATGGTCTTCGGTCCTTATCAAAGAGCGATCCCTTGTACATGAAACACAACACAGAACACGATGCACCATACTGGCGCGGAGCCGTGTGGATCAACGTCAATTACCTAGCTGTGCGTGCCTTGCATCATTATGCCAATGTACCTGGTCCGTATGCCGCTACAGCTAAAGAGATGTACAGTGAACTCAGGGCAAACATCATCAATAATATCATAAAGCAATATAATAGGTCAGGATATGTGTGGGAGAATTACAATGATATATCTGGGAAAGGGCAAGGGTGTCACCCATTCACTGGTTGGTCAGCTCTTGTTGTTTTAATGATGTCCGAATCATACTAGACAATTGGTAATAATATTGTTGGAATATTTGCTTTCTAAATTTCTGAAATGATCATTTCCAGATCTTTATTTGTGTCTTGATTTTATTCATTTCTAAATCAAAATCATGTTATTGAATTTGAATTCATCATATGATGTGATCTTTTTAATCATGATACTTGCCCAAACTGTTCTCTGCATGGTAATAAGAAATGACTGATGACTGATGAGAGCAAGAACGGCATTAACTATGTGAGTTAACGCTTTTCTTGCTCCAAACAGACAATACCGGTATGTGTGTTGTATTAGTGGGTTGTACTAGTACATCTTAGGTCCAGTTTGAAGATAGCATTATTTTCTCTTTTGTTTGGAATTTAATATATCGAAGTTTACTTTTTCATTGTATAAGATGAATTCTGGATACATGCACTAGTTACTTGTTACTAGTAGCACATCAAAGTAGACACAGCCATAGTATTAGACTGAAAGCTTCAGTCTCTGATATCGGCGGTTGTTTCGCTGAGATTACATCTGGCTCCTCTGACCGCCTCTATATGTGTATGGGGAATGTTGACAAATGTCAGTTTTATTAAAGAATGACCCATACCAGACGGTTGTTTCTGTCTAACACAGTCATAGAGCACTGGAAGTATTTGGTCTGTACTATTGATGTTTTTGTTTGTTTTGTGGAATTAATTACTGTGGAAGGAGCCTGGCCATTTAAATTTGATAAATTTAATTTTCAGACCCATAAGGAGCAAGATATGTATATTTTGGTCCAATTTTTAAGTTTAGATTTCATTGTGATAGTACTTGTTTAGAGCTGTGCAGTGTTGGTTAATTTCTGTGTCTAAATCAGTTTGTTGATAGCTGTATTAGAAGCACGTTACTACGTCCCTTCACATGTAGTTTGCATATGAAGTATGTTATCCCTCGACCCTCATGCTGCATACATGTAGATGTAGTGTACACTACACTATTGCAATTCTACTCGCTTTTCTTTTCCTTTGCATTAAGTAAGTGTTGAAAAAAAGCGGTGTCATGGAATAGTGAAGTGGTCTGTTCACTTGGTTTTTAATCATGATGTCGAGGATTTGAATCCCAGCCTAGCACCAACGTCCTTTGGCAAAACATTTCTTTGCATTTGGCACTCTCCATGTGTAAATGGGTACCTGATATACTTGAACCTTATTAAGAGTGTATTAAGAGTGAATTAGCCAATTTTAGGCATTCTTGAAATTCCAGTATGTGATGTAATTTAATATGATTCATTTTGTATTCTGCAATATTGTGGTATTGTCTGTGAAACTCCACTCTCCATAAATTTACATTTCAGCTGACTCTAGGCCAGATTTAATCCATCATTTCTGCCTTGCCATTCTCATTGCATTGTCACAGCTAATTACAGCAGTATTTGATTCATCATTTCTTAAGAGAAGTACATTAAGACAAACAAAATGTCCTACTTCAAGCTTAGACTGTGTAGCTGGGGTATTAAGATGCTACTTTCAGTTTCACAATGACATTCAAGCCAAAAGTAAGATCTTTACATCTCCTTGAACATGTTCTTACAACGCCCAAACATAAGCCATTTACATAAGCCATTTACATATTAAAGCTTAAATTTAAACATGAGATCCAAAGCCCACTGCACACTACACTATAAATGCACAAGTTACAATTCTGCTCCTTAATATTTTTATCATTATTTAGAAGCTACATCGGGAAACCTTATTTGTTAATAGTTCTGTCATTTCTTTGAAAATTGGATCACATGAAGATTATATAGTGTGCGGTGGGCTTAAGACATGTAGTAGATTATGTTACTTTTCATTTCCTGGTTTTAGGTATAACATTCTCTTCTAAATGTCAATATTCTACTAATTCAGTTAAACCTGACCTGGGGTTCTAAGATCATGTTTGACCAAAAAAAAAAGAACTAAGAGCTCGGATAACTTCCTTTGATAAACCCAATTTTGGACAAAAGCTTGAAACCAGAGTCAGGTTTTAATGTTCACGTTACGAGTATGTGCCTTAGTGTTTAAAGTGTGTATAGAAATCATATTTGTTTCAAGCCAAGAAGGGCATTGACCTTACACTGAATGTTAAAGAGAAATTCTAACTTGATGGCAAACTATTCTAAAAGAAGCATACTGGTGAAAATCTGAATGAAATTGGATTTGTTTGAATTGATGAATTTTTGAAAGTTGCGATCACTGTAGGTATGGGCTCTTCCAATAGGCTGAATGATCCTAAATTGGTATCGTCTTTGTGATGTTGTGGTGATCAACTTTTCCATCTGTTGCAACAAAAAAAGTCACTAAAATGTCCATTTTTCAAAAATGTATGACTCTGGATGGTATTTTCTTATTAGAGGACTTGTAATAATGTACTCTCCATAATTTATTTTGAGTAGTGGCCGAAGTGTGGAGGTACTACATAGAAAAACATGAATTAGTGATATTTTTGTACACAACAGGTAGAGTTATCCATAACTATATCACAATGAACTGACAAAATTGCCCAAATTGTAGTGATCTCATATTTCAAGCATTTATAACTCATACTGTAGGTCTGATTTATATCAAATTTTCACCATTTGGTTTTTCTGATTTTTCTGCTTCTATTGTAGTGAACTCATTACAAGGGCTATATGAGTTCATGCCCAATTAGCTCTCACTGGACAAACTGTAAGTTTTGTTTTGTTTTGTTTGCTTGTTTGTTTATTTGTTTATTTTTAGGTGTTTTGTTTTCGTTTCAATTATGATGTGGATTGTACTGTACATGTTAATCATTTTGGTAATTGTATTTGAATATATATTGTATTTGAATATTCTGTTCGTTTTAGCTCTATTGTGCAGTGAAGGTGCTTCTAAGAAGCTATATTCTTGTAAAAGATCACAATAATGTCACAATTAAAGATTTTTTGAAACACAAATGATTGTCTCTGTAGTTCTCAATTGGGCAATGTGGCTGTCATATCCTAGTAAAGCCACGTTCAGATAGGAGGTGATGAATAGTGTTTTTAAAATTTAAAAGGTAATTTGCGGTTGGTAGTCAAAGGGGTTCATTTTACATGAATCATTAAGTAAAAGTATGTTCAGATAGTGCGGGATAAACACTGCAAAAAATTTGCCACATTTTTAACGTTTGAAATGGATGGCAACTGCTCACAACAAAGGGCATGCATGTTCTCAATGAACTATGTGTTAAAGGATACTGAGATGTGAACAGTATTACACTTTGCGTCATTAAAAAAAGTCATATCTGAAAGAGCCTAAAATGTAGTCTTGAACTTTTATAATATCTATCTTATTTCCCCAGAAAACAGACATACTCTAACTCCTAATTAATGTGGTGGTTTACATAAAATATGAAACAAGTTGTCCAATAAGTGACTCATCGTTGTCTCACTTCTTGATAAATGACAATATACTTAATAGTATAGTACACTCATGAAACAAAAACATAAAAGATAAGACCATTGTTTAGAGTCACAATTACTTCTTTATTTACACTACATAGAATTGCAGAAGTATCAGTAATATTTTTCTTTTCAGCAGAGATGCATTTTCTACAAGGGGATCTATGCTAAACATGCCATCTATGTATATCAAGTGGAAATAACTATGTTTAAACGGCCACATTCATGTATCTCCACGATCCTAAAATAAGGTAGATAGAGGATATCTTACTAAAAACAGGGAGGTAAAACCAGGAAGGCGAGACTATCCTAAACAACACCCATCAACATATGCTCGATAGGTAATTGATTGTAATACATTTGGAAAACAGGGGGATTCTTTTCATGGATGCTGTTAAGAGGTAAAGTGGAGAAGAGTTGGTAATATATTTCCTCTACCAAGTGGTGATAAGACGAAAACTGAGCATGTTTTTTTCAAATATATTTTTACGACACGCTCCCTTAAAAGGTATACGCTTTTCTTAACAATTGCACAAATTGATAGATAAATGATGGTCACTGGACAGAATGCATCTTCACATTTATGTGGTTACTGACCGATTTCCTTTGCATGATACAATATCCAACTAAACAATCAATTACCGGTAATTTGTTGAGATACATTAACTAAATTGTTCATACCCCTTGTAAATTAAATGTTTTTTGTTTTTGTTTTCATAACTCAAGAATGATGGATTGGTTGAATTAGGGTATTTATTGAATACTTTCAGATGCCAGGTTTAATATGTAACGTAATCAAGAAACATATATCAAGACAAATTAAAAAACTTGGTAAGGGTATGAATAATTCATTTGTTAACTGTAAGCGTTTGATTCCTAGCATGAAACACACAAACAAAAATGCAAAACTCATGAAATAAGACAGTGATATTATTTATAATCACAAATCCAATAATCATACCTTGATTCCCCAAAACAGAAGAAAAACAAAACATTAAAAAAAGAACTGACCTTAAAAAGAGATTTTGGTTACTCCTGTACATCTTTGAAATTATCTGAGCCCTGTTCATTTTTCAAATGAATATAATTTAGAAATAAAAATAATTCATCATTTGATACATAAAAAATATCAAAGCAAAAAAACAGTAATAAGTTTAAAGAATATTTACAATAAGTAATAAATTAAAAGTAAATAATGTTGAATATAACATGCGGACTAGCCATAAATATTGACTACATTCAGATTTTCAAATAAAAAACACCTGTTCTAGATTTGAATTATGCAACAAAGGCTATATGTGTGAAAAAAAAACATTTCAAGATATTACTTCCTCTTAAATATACCCCATACATGCCAGAACAAAGATGTGTCAGAGCATAAGGATCTTCATCAATCACTGATGTGCCAATACAAATAATATTGTCACTTGCTGATGTGCTATTATTTGTAGCTATGTGCTATTTTTTTTTCTCAATCTAATACTAATTAATGTTGGGATATGGCTGGAAGCCAAACGCACATACAAACATATAAATTTAGAAAAAGCAAAGAAGGAAACATGTATTGCATCATACTGCAAATAGACACATTATGTTTCGAACTAGAGTGTATTATGGTAATCATTAGGAGAGAGTTGACAAATCCTATTCTTTATGCTAAATTGAGAAGCTTGTTCTACCAATCCATCTACTTTTGTTGCCATAAATCATGGCTCATAAATTATGCCTGAATTCATGTTGGTCGTCCCACTATAATTTCAATATGAGCTCTGCAATATTGAAAGCGAAACTACATGTACATGTATCCAGCATAGGGTCTTCAACTAAATAGAGAAACACAACAAAGACTTTTGTTTCCAGCTCGAATGTATGCTTGTAATATTTTGTAAGAGGCTTGTGTTTAAAAAAGAATGAAGTCGTATGATGGTGCAAAAGTTGAACTAATTGCATATTGTATCAATTTTTGCACAATTAGGAATGGCTCGTCATATTACATTCCATATCTTTTTTATCAAACAAAAAGTAGACATGCTGAAAGA